AGCTGAAGCTGAAGAGAAGGATTAAGAACTTGCAACTATAAGCAACAGAAAGAACCTTTAACTGCCTTAAACCAACTGAGAAATACACTGTAGAGAAGGATTTTATCTACCTATGGACAGTGAGAAGATGATGGATACCAGCCCTGCATTACCTCAGGCAAGAACAGGAACTACCCTGCCATTCTTAGGGAAGCCAGACACCAGAGGATAAGTCACGCTGCAGACCTCCACAACACCACTCCTGCTAACCACAAGATGGCCGCTGTGCCACATCAACTGATGGTCAACTCTGCTTACCAGAACTGCTTTCCTGAAACTGTATTCCATGGAGACTCACCTACAGTTGCGGAACTGCACGAGACCCACACTTGATCCAACCTTGAATGGAATCTATTTTCCCTATTGTTAAAAACTTTGGACTCCTGGCCCCTCTCCCTCTACTCGCAGGTATCGCATTTTCAATGACCCCTCTGGAGGATAGCTGTCTATAGCAGAGATAGAGTAATTGGGAGAGGGGGAAAGGGCTGAGGGTCAAACATAGGATAAAAAACATATTTATATGTATGAAAGTAGAAATGGAACAGTATTGGTGACGACATGCTTGATTAAGACACTATGTAGTTTATCCTAGATGGGAAACTACACTTGGTGTGTTGTGATGATACTCAGGGAATGAGTGTTAGGCAATATAATTTAATATAAAAAAAGTAATAAGCAGGAGGAAAAAAAATGCACATTTGATGACTGAAGAGAGTTGTATGGACACAACTGGGGTCTACTTTATAGTATGTTCATTCTACTCCCTGGGGTTTATGCCTAGGATCAGATTTGGATACATGTGTAAGGATATGTCAGCTGTGCTAGCTAGTGGATATACTTAGACTAATTGAGTTCATTGGTAGAACAATTGAATGGGGGGGGGCGGAAGCCATTGAGGGCAATCATGAATGTCAGGGACAATGGAGGAGGAAGATGGGACATGGCAGAGGGTGGGGATGGGGAACCTAGGATGGCAAAACAAAAGGCAAGGTATGCAGGACACAAAAATTGGGAAATCATTTGCTGAGAACATATATGTTGATGTGCTTGATTGAGCCAATGCACAGTGTATTTTGGATGGAAAATTCATATGTGTGTTGTGATGAGAAAAAATTTATAATAAAAAACAAAGTATAAAAAAAAAAAAAGGAGAGAGAAGAGGATAAAGACAGCAGTGAACAATAGAGAGGCAGGATGTTAATGAGAAATAGATATGGTTTATTACCTGTTGATGATGACATGTATAGTATTCTCAACTGAACCGGTCTGGGAAGTATTTCATGATGGGTGAAGTCTTTAATAAGCAAAATGAGAAATAGTGATTGATTGTTTAAAAAAAATTATAATAATAATTATTGGGAAAAGCATGGAAAAGATATTGAATGATAAAGCGGGGAGATTGATATCTCTGTATTGACTGACATGCATGGCATTCCCTTTTGAAAAAGCAATGGAAGTCAATGTAAAGTTATATGTAATCTAGTGTAATAGAAAGAAGATTATGATGATGATAATAAAATTAAATTAAAAAAAAAAAAAGAGACCTGTCAATTACAAACATAGACCTGTATTCTTTTCTTCCTTTGTAAGAGAGAGAGAACTGATAAAGAAAGGGAGGAGAGAGACAGAGGCAGGCGTTTTCAGCAGGGTCTCGCTGCACCTGTCACTCTTAAGTTTATCTCGTGCGAGGGTGAGGACACAGCAAAGCCGTGCCGGGGTGCAGCCTCCGTGTTGCTGCACGTGCGCACTTTGGAGTGAGGGTTCTGATTCTACCGTCATGTGGTTTTCTTTAGAAAGGAACTGCTTACTGTCGATCGCAAGTATCGGGCACTTTCTGATAGACACGACACTTAGAACTTAACGATTCTCGTTCTCTCAGTGAATTTATAACTCTCCCCCTCCTGCTTTCAGGATGAACGGTTCCCAAGAGGTACTGGACTGGAATCAGGGACTCGTATCCAGTCTGTTCTTTGCTTGCCAATTGTCACTGCCATCGGAGACTTGATCGGGATTCTAGAGCTGTACAGGCACTGGGGCAAGGAAGCCTTCTGTCTCAGTCACCAGGAGGTGAGCGCCTCAGCCCCTGGGACCCTGGTTGGGCCTTTGAGCTGTTCCCCAGTCAGGGAACGTGATCACTGATATTGTTATGTGAGTGCATGAATGAGTGCTTAGAACTACGATTTACTTAACAGTGTCTTGATACTAATGATTTTAATAATGTTTTTTGTTTCGAAGTAATGAAACCAATTATATTAGAAGTATAGTCTTTTAAGCAATCGAAAGTACGCCATTCTGTGAATCAAACAAAGGAGCAGGGTGACTTTGGGAAAGTTTTCATACGCTAGTTTTCCTTATGTCTTCTTAAAAATGCCCTCTTCCTACGTGGTGTCCTAAAGACAGGTCCCCGTTTCAAATACACCTGGGAGACAGTGAGTCACGGTCACTGCTCACTGAACTGGAGTCGGACTCGTTGATACTCGAGACCAAATACTGAGACATGTTCATCACAGACCCTGTGCACCAAGTCCCTGCAGCGGCCTCAGCCCTGTCCACTTGCCGGAGTGACGCCATCTGCTGCTACGCCAGCCGTCCCTCCCTCCCCACCTGCAGCCACACTGGGCCTTGGGCAAGCCTGACAGACACCGACCGCTCAGAGCCTCCCACCCGCTTTTCTGTCTTTGTAGCGCGCTGCCCTGTGCTCCCCAGGTCACCTCCCTCGGGTTTTCTCAGCTATCGCCTTCCCCATGTGACCTCCGTCCACACTCCATGCACACACTAGTGGCCCTTGCCTAGCCCTTCCCTTTGTGCTACTTCTCTGCAGCGCTGCCTGTGACCGTGTGACATGCTCCCACTGCGCCCCCGCCCCCGGCTCATCCTCTGCCGCAGTACGCGGGACGCCATTGCACCTGTGCTATGGCAGTTCACCTGGAGGAGGGCAGGGCGCATCGGAGACCCCCCTCAGTGTGTGTTAATTAGCATATGTAGTAACTTAAGAACTTCTCAATTAATGTAAACACAAAATTTTTATTTTGTAGAAATATTTTATCATTTTAAAGTGTTCGTAGTCTTTTCTCATAATGTATTTGTTCAACTGAAAAAGTAATTTTATGTTAAAATCTTTGGGTACGGCTCTAGCAATCAGTTTATCTCCTTTTTTATCCAAAATTAAGACAAGCAAGAAAAGATTAAATTCCATTATACAGAGGAGAAAATGTGAACGAGAAGCCTTGTAAATATTTGGCACTTTGTACTTGACAAGGTATTCACACGCACAGTGACCAAGAAAGTCTTCCTGCATATTATCCCAGAGTCCTTTGTTGGCATGCCGCCAGGTACCCCTTCACGACTCATTTCACACAGACGTTTCTTTTCAGGTTGCAACAGCAAATCTTGCCTGGGCTTCGGTCGCAATCCACCAAGTGCAGGTGAGTCTTTGGGGTGTTTTCCTGAGAGAGCCCATTTCAGGAGTGCAGCCCTGAGAACGGCAGTGGGGGACCATGGGTAACCTCATGCTGTGTTTGGAATGTTAGAGTAGTTGACATATATACATTATACATTTATCATGTATGTGTGTGTGTGGAGAGAGAGACAGACATTTCTATATATACATTGTAAGTCATTCATGCAGTAAATGTTACATGTCCTGATATGATATTTTGTTTTCTACTGAAAACCTTGGAACAATCTCTTATTGGGAGTTGCACTGATATTCCTGTGATTCCATTTCCTAAATTAAAATATCCTCTGCACTTAGTGATTTATGAAACTTAACCTGACTTTAAGAACCTGATGGTCTTAAAGATATGATCTGATTTAAAAATTACAAGCCACCTAGAGTTCTCCTGGTACTGGACTGCAGAGATGGTTCAGGAGCTCGATAGCAGTACAGCACTGCTCTGTATCTTCTTTAAAAAAAAAAAAGTTTCAGTTTTATAATTCCGTTTTAGCAAACTTTGGTTAGTTGAGGACGAACTGGGCAGAAAAAGAATAGTTGTGCAGGATGGTAATATGAGTAGCCAGGGCTTCCTGGGCCCTTCAGGATCGTGGGGCAGGTGCCCAGCTGCTACTCGGTGACATCTGAACGCTGGTGTAAGCGGCAGCTAGGCCGGACTGCCCAGACCTGAGCGTCGGCTCCACACTTGGTCTGAAACCTGTTTGAGGGGCTCGCTTCTTTATATCTCAGTTAGAAAAGTGGGTCTCAAACGCCTAGTATTTTGTGGTGATTAAATGAGATGCTAAATAGAAAGTGCTTAGAATAATGTTTAGCACATTTAAGAATTCAAGTAAATATTATAGTTATTGATACTATTAAATTAGTAGTGCACTATAAACAAAGTGATTGTGTTAAGTCTTTTTTTCAATAAAAATACTTAATAGTGTTCTGGAAGTTTTATTTCTTAATTAGCAGACATCTCTTAGGATTGCTAACTGTCATTCCATACGGCAGGTGTGCAGAGGTCTTGCCAAACAGACTGAACTGAACGACTTTCTACTCGACGTATCAAAGTAAGTGTTGCTTTCTGGGACAGGGTAGGCTCGGGGATAGATGGGCTGAGGTAGGCGCAGGTCCTCCCAGCAGTAGGCTGTTACCCTCTGCAGCCCGAGCTCCAGAGCAGTCTATTCCGGAAGTCGTCTGGGAGGCGTGCTTAGTCACGTTTTGGTTGGTAAGCTGTATCCTCAGTCATGTTCACGTGTAAGTGAAGGATTGCAGGTGTTTACGTGATGACTGTAAGTTCCGATTTGATGTGTGTGTGCTAAGTAGATTCTGCTAGAACATGTTAAAGATAAGAAGTATCTGTATTTTGGCAGAAGAATATTGAGAGGAATAGGAGGGGAAACGTTCTGGTTTATTTCTTTTCCAAAAACGGGTTCTAACAATGTCAGTAAACCAATGTCACTAATGTTACTATTTTACTCTTCCCATGGGTAGCAACTCAGATACCATTTTTGAGACAATTTCATCTCCCTGACGTTTGACCAAGTAAAGCCTCGTCGGGCTGGCAGTGGAGACAGTTACAGATAGTTATTCAATTCTAGGCTCACCCTGGTTTCGCTTGTCGTAGAAGACACCATCTGTGTATCTGGCCCATCTCACTCGTCAGTGAAATCTAAAATATGCCCCAGGATGTAGTAGCTCCAGGGTCACATCCTCCTAGAGCTGGCAGAAGAGTCATGTACCCTCCGCGGCCTCCAGCGGAGAGCAGGAAGTGTGCTTCCCCTCATTGCAGTAGCACTCAGTAATTTACCCCCCAACCTGTGTTACGGTATGCGCGATAATTTGCTTGAAGTTGCTAGTTCATGTTACACTTACTTGTGGAAATATAAAATTACAGAAGTGGGGACTGAAAAAAAAATTTTTTTTTTTTTTGAGAGGCATTCGCTATAGGGCACGTGCGCTCTCCAGAAAGACAGAGATAGACAGAGAGACAGAAAGCGAGAAATCACCTTCCAGGGGTGACGGCTACGCTGTAATCCCTTCTCCTCCATTCTCCTCTCGGGGTCTTGGGCACGCATGCACATGCACCCGGCGTGAGTTTAAGACACGGGGTCCGGGACTTGAACTGTGGTCGACTACATGGGAGTCCAGCGACATAGCCATTACGCTAACTGCTGGTCCCTCATTTATCTTTAATGTAACTGATTGTTTCCACAAAAGGACAAAAACAAAACATATATATTTATGTTTTTATTATTTATTTATTTATTTTATTGTTTTGAAAAGGTTTTTGCTATAGGGCACATATGCTAGCCAGAAAGACAAAGAGAGACAGAAAGTGAGAAATCACCCCCAGTGGGGATGGCCACGCCACAATCCCTTCTCCTCCCTTCTCCTCTTAGGATCTTGGGCATGCACACATGCCCAGCGTGAGTTTAAGCCACCAGGTCCGGGACTCAAACCGCGGTCGACTACGTGGGAGTCCAGCGACATAGCCATTACACTAACTGCTGGTCCCCTATGTTTTTTATTTAAATGTCAACAAAACCAGGAAGTTTATTCAAAGCTTTATGTTTACTGTGATCGAGATAAGATTACTTACAAATTTTATGTTCTTTTTTTTTCAGAACATATTTTGATAACATAGTTGCAATAGATTCTCTACTTGAACATATAATGGTGAGTGGCCTTTTGTTTTGTTTTGAAAATGATTGTGTTTAACCCTTAAACCCAGGTCCTACCATAGGGTGTAAGGTGTCAGTCTATTAGACACGCAAACTCTTTTAAATATTATGGGAAGCCACCTTAATGTGTTTTTCATTTCTGTCAATAACAGGAGGTTTGAATTACATTTTAAAAATATCTAGAGTTTTTATTTAATGGAGAGCTATACTTTGAAAGGATCTTTTTACATTCTCTAAAACACCTTTTTCATATAGCTTACATTAGGAATTTCTGTCTGCTTCTTCTTGATTTTGAAGTTCATCCTACTCAGTTTTAGTCGGAATTGTGCCTCTCTCCCAGAAGACTAACAGACCCTTTGAACTGAACGCCGCAGGAAGCCGCGCTCAACCATGTTAGGTGACTGGCTGGTTGCTCTGGATGGGGGCTGCCACTGGGGGGGGGGGGGGCCACGATGCCGGG